TCGTGCGGGGGGGGGCGGGGGGGAGGAGGGCGAAAGGGACAGAGTTTGCTTTCACTTACACCGTTTCCAATCAACCGCGCGTTGGAGAGAAAAAAAAAAAAAGTAGCTGGTGGGAATTGTCACAACCACTTTCAGTCAAAATATAAAATTCATTTAGTTGCTGTAATTGAATTTAAAGTGTGTTTTCTTTTGTATCATACGGAATACTAGAGAATGTAAATTGTTTTCTTTTTTTTTTAAGCTAATAACGATGATATATCGTGATATAGCATCTTAACATTTATTAATTTATATTAAAAATAATTCGGTTTGTAAAGAGAAGAAAAACCCTTTGCAAGACCAGTTAAATGTAATGCACTTTCTGTTTAAAAAAAAAAACAAAAAACAAAACAACACGATAAATCAATTAAACCAGTTTAAAGACGTCTGCTGCCTTCACTAAAGGGTACAGATAATCTGATCTCATCAGAGATTAAATAATGAAACCACGGTACAGGAAGAGAGAAAAAAAAACCGAGATAATTTACAGGATCTTTTGTTCAATCTCAGTAGCGGGGTTTGGGGTTCTTTTTTGTTGATGCTTTTTGCTTTGGGTTTTGGTTGTTTGGGTTTGTTTGATGGGGGTTTTTTTTGTGTGTATGTGTTGGTGGTTTTTTTAACGATGGAAGTTGTCCACTTTGTTGTGGGGGTTGAAGACGGATACAAATAAAATAAAGGCAGCTCCTGCCCGCGCCGGTCCCTCCGTAAGCGGGCAGTCAGAGTTTCCACTCGGTCCACGCAGCGGTTCATCTCAGCCTAAATTAGGCTGTATCAACTTTTTAAGCACCGGGCTACGCAAGCTGTTATCCAGAGCAGTGTTACCACTATTACGCGGAAGAAAAAAATGCTTCCCGAGAAGAAAACCGCAAATAAAATAAGAGCCGGGCTAAGTGTCTAGAGTAAATAGTTAGACCCAATACCGAAACAACTGGTTTAAATTGAAACTCATTATCTAGACGCGATCATTTCCATATCTAAACAGACCAGAAACAATCACTTCTTTTTTTTTTTTTTTTAACCGCAAATAAAATAAGAGCCGGGCTAAGTGTCTAGAGTAAATAGTTAGACCCAATACCGAAACAACTGGTTTAAATTGAAACTCATTATCTAGACGCGATCATTTCCATATCTAAACAGACCAGAAACAATAGGGGCCCCGGCTCTGTGCTGCTGCCTCGGCGCGGCTGCCCGGGCTCTCCCGGGCCGGGATACCGGGGGCTGCCCATCGCCCACTGGTCTCCCTCCTCTCCCTGTCCCCCCCAAATCTTTCCCGAGGCAGAAAGGGAAATACCGGGTGGTTTACAGAGT